TGGTGGGGAGGGGTGGGGGGTACTCGACAGTGAAAACTGCCGAAATGGCACTAAGGTTTGCTGTTGGTCGGCGTGTGGTGTAATATTGTGGACCATCATAAAAGACCGTAGGTAAGTGGCTGAATGTACTGCGTGGGTAACCCTGGCCTTGACAGCGTGTCGAGAACATGTCCAGAGAGGAAACCTTCGTCGCTCAGGAGATTTCCGGGTGGGACTTGTGGAACCTGTGGAAATCTCCTGAGAGGCAGCTGATAGACGAGAAGCGAATATGGAAATTTCTTCGCTATGAAAAAAGGAGATGATCAATAGATTTGGTGATGAGGTATCAGCGTTTTACCTGCATGAATGCCGATTTGCTACTCTTGCTGGTGATATCCATCTCTACTGGTAGGAATCCGAAGTTGCAAGAAGATTACCGGTTTTTTTTTTTTCGAATTTTAATTTGGGACGCTCGACCAGGGCCGTGGCATCAAAAAAAGATTTATACCATATCGAAGGGCGCCGAGTGCGGAGGTGGAAAAGGAGAAGAAAAATGTGCTCAGAATTTAGGTTTCCGTTGAATGATATGGTTAGCCATACTGATCCTACAGCTGGGTTCGAAAAGGGATTCAGTAAAAATAAAAAGAGAGAAAGAGAGCGTAATTTTATTCCAAAGAGAAGCACAAAGGGCCGCAGGATCGATCAGTTTGCATGTCAATGGCTCTTCTCCCTTCTAGACCTGGCGGGCGTGGGCAGAAGCATCTACAAATGTCAAGGCGTCAAGCGAGAAAAGGGGTAAATAAATGGAAATTATTCGAGAAATTGGTAAATCAACGAGTTTCCTTTTCAGATATATCCTGGCTGGAAAACGATTGGGACGGCGGTTGGAAGAAAATGGATTCTTGCGATATATGCAGCCACAAATATAGTTACGAGTATTGAGTTAAGCGGTTTCGAGACATCAATCCTGTTTCGTCATTTTGTGCTAAAGGGGGATGTATTGAGCGGCTCTGCAAGTCGCAAAATTCTACACGGACGCGGGCCACTTGAGGACGAGAAACCAGTGATAGAAAGTAGTGTAGCGATGCTGATGACAGTCTAGATCGCCAGTGTGAGGTGTACTTGCAGGAGGCCCGCACGCCCAAGGCGCACCTGGAGGACGAGTCGAGCACCTTCGATGATGGTGGCAGCGTTCTGTACGACTCTTTGGCTCTGTCGGTGCTTCTCGAGTACCCCAAGTGCTCGAATTTGGGTAGCCACGGCACGAAAGGAGTGGCGAAAACACAGAGGTACAAATAGAGTGGGATCAGTCACCCTTCGGACTTTGGACTCACCCACCTACATCTCCCAAGTTCGTAGGAGTCCAACTCGCCCATTTC